TTTCTCTTTTTTTTTCCATTTCTTTTTTTTTTGGTCCTTGCCCATTTTAAAAACCAAATTGGCGTCAAAATGATGAGTAGAGAAAGGTCCACATGATAGTATTTGCTATTACGTACAAAGATCTAGTTTATTGTAACATGCTAGCCTAATTATTTATAATGATTTGTTAAAACTGTAATCAAGTCTCTTTTTCAGGTAGAATTTCCGAGATTCAGGATTTCTCATTAAGAGCTCAACTGCCATACGTATTAAAACACGCAATGAACGACATCATTGAGTTATTAGAATGGCCAAAACATCCATGGCGATTAGGTTTTACACTGTTCACATTCCCTTCGAGAAATACTGTTCACTATCATGCTGTCTCGTCCCAAATACATAATTGTTCATTGAGCATTTACTCTTTTTTAAAAATCCTGGTGAAAGACCTTAGAAATACTTTCTCTACTGCACGCTTAAACATAACACGTTTGTCCCACAGTCTTTCAAGTTTTCATAAGCATAAGAAGGAGACGGACAACTAATAATGAAATTACATTCAAGTATAATTTTAGCCAGCAACCTGTCCTCCCCCCCCCCCATTATTTATCTATCCACTTACTTTGTAAAAAAGGAATGAGCCTATTGGCATAAAATAAACACTAAACTGAGGAGAAGTGAATGATCCAAGTAGTAAACATACAATTGAGATAAATTAATGGATTAATTGCCGTGTTGAAGATTCTTTAATGTTATGACTGTAACAAACCGGATGATTCTATGAGCCAGCTGAATTGGTGTGTCTTATACTTAGAATTTAAAAAACAAACAACAACAAGACACAAAAAACAAAATAAAAACCCCAAAGACAACCCCCCCCCTTAAACGCGCACCTTGCCATCCACACGAATAAGACTCAACCCCCCCCCAAAAAAGGAACAAACAGAAGAAGAAAAAGAAATCTGCTTTAAAAAAAAATTAAGAACAAAACTCATGTGTACCTGACCTAGTCTTGTACTTGTTGAAAAGAGCTGTAAAACACTAACTCTTATGTTCCTGTGCAGTCGAAATTGTCCAAGACGGCCAAACAAACATTGCCCTAATGGCCACCTGTCTAAGACAATCATCTGTACAAACGACACCCCCCCCCCCAACCAATATTTTTCAATTTAAAAAATTCAAAAACATATTGAAATGACACTGTCCTAGATATCCATCTGTCTAAGACTCTAAGACAACCACTTTTCTACTCTGCAATGTTTGTTTGGCGGTCTTAGACAATTTCGATTGCACCGAAACGTAAGAGTTAAGTGTTCTAGAGCTCTTTTTGACAAGACGAGGTCAGGTACACAGGAGGTTTTTCTTTGTTTGTTTGTTTGCTAGTTGTTTTTTAAAATACAGATTCTGCAGATAAAAACAAAAGTAGGAGACACAGACAGGACCAAACCGCTTAGTCTTTTGCACTACGCTGTACCAAAAACATGAGCTCAGTACTGTTTCTAACACTCACCAAGTGCTGTAGGAGGAGGAGGGCCAGGAGGAGAAGGAAGAGGAGGGCCATGAAGAGGAGGACCAACCAGGAGGAGGAAGAGGAGGACTAGGAGGAGGTGGAAGAGGATAAAGACAAAGACGAGGACAAGAAGGACCAGGAGGAGGAGGAAGACAAACAAGACAAGATGAGGAAGACAAAAGAAGGAATCAGATATATGAAACCCCCCAAAAAGAAACAAACAGAAGAAGAAGAAAGAGAAAAAAAACAAGACAGAAGACAAAGAAGGAACATGAAGAAGCCAAACAATGCCAACAACAACGCACCCGTAAGAGATGCAGCTCCCACAGAGAGGCACTGTTGGCACAGCAATGTTCCGGGTCCTCAAGGTATGGCAAGTACACGCCACTGCCCTGTATGTCGTTGTCAAACAGGAGGTCGCTGTACTTGTACGACTGGAAAACAGAAAGAAGAACTAATAATAATAATAATAATAATGATAATAACGATAATTATAAAGAAAACCAAACTTGATGATGATGGTGATCATATTAATAATAATAATAATTATAATATAATAATAACAGTAATAATAATAAAAATAATAACAATATTAAGTTAGTTCATCACGAACTCATGATGACCTTTAACATCCAAGGAGGAAGAAAAATTATAGACCTCGCGGTAGCTAGCATGGTAAAGTTTAGGAAATAACAGCAAGCAACTTGTAATGATCACAAATGCCACAACTTGCCATAGAGAGAGAGCAGCGCCTTTCCCTTTCCTACAGTGGTGGATATACCAGAACAGTGACAAACAAAGATTCAGCATCAGCACAGGAGAGCACTCATTACATTCATGTTCAGTGATACACACCTCTCTCTTGTTTTTTGTTTTCGTAGAGGTTTTACGGTGCTCGCAACTGCATAAGGTCATATGAGCGCCAGAAGATTAAATTAGAGGCGTTACAAGAGAGTAACAAACATAAAAAAAGGAGGGGAGATAAGGATGATAGAATAGATGTTTCATAGGAAAGAAGAAGCAAACCACACAAAAGCACCCACCGACCACCCACACATCTCTCTCTCTCTCTCTCTCTCTCTCACTCACACATACATACAGACACACACACAAACATCAGTTTTCTCTCAGTCTGTTCTATACACATGGGTCACAAACACTGAGCACAATCTCTCACAAACTAATCATTCCATAATTATCTTAGTGGTCCTAGATATTGCTCTCCTTCATCTGACAGAAGAGGGGACAAAGGGGAAACACACACAGCCATCTCCTCCTATAACAATCCCTAATAAGACAGGAATAAACACATAAATATGCCCCCCCC